TTGGTGTGCCCCAGGACAAGGGCAGGACACACAATCACCTGGGGCCTGCTGTGTACGTGACATACGTGTATTTTTCTGGAGCTGGGACCCACAGTTTCTATTAGATTCTCAAAAGTCCTTTACGGTCCACTATCTTAGAACGGCCAGCCCAAACTAAGTTTCCTAAGTTCAGGTGACACATGGCATGGTCTTACTTAGGAGGCAGGAAGTGTCTTATGCCACATGGGCACATCTGCTGTAACTGGTCTCACCAGTGTGACTGACAAGTAACATCCACTTTCAGCACTAAGAAAATGGGACTCTACCCTTGCCTGAGAGGCTGCTGTGAGACCCCTGGGGAAGGGCCACTCCGCACACAAGGGAGCAGCCACCAGTCAGAGCCCTCTGTGTCTCCTTTCAGACTCGGAGGAAGATGAGTTTGTGTGGGCAGGAGGACAAGTAAGAGAGGCTCACCACTCCTGTGCTGTGGCCCCCAGGGACTGCCAGGTATGAGTGCTGACTCTCCGTCAGTGGCCTCCTGAGAGGGAAAGCTGGGGCAATGATGACAGTAGGCCAGCTGGCCTCTTTGGAAGGACATAGACGCTGCTCACCAGAGTTCACAAAAGAGCGCGCTGCAGTGCAGCCTCTTTGGAGGAGACCTCAGCAGCATGCTGTACCTGTGGCCACAGGGAGTGGAAACACCGCTAGAGGCTGGCTGTGGCATTTGTCCGCTGTGGCGCTCCCAGCAGACACTGTGAGCAGCAGCAGGCTGCAGGTCCCCTGCTCTCACTCACAAGACACGGAAGCCAAGGTGGGGGCTGGAATTGCTCAGTGATCCACGTGGAACTGGACACCAGCCCTCCTGTGACTGCACTGCAGTTAACAGACTTGGCTCTGTCCTCCCTGGGGCAGATCACGTCCCTCCAGGTTGCTAACGGTGAGCCTCTTAGGAGGCAGAGATTCAGACATTTGTTTCACACAGAAATGATACCCAGCATGTTCAACACGAGTGAGTGCAGGGCACTTTGGGGGCCAAGGGCAGGGGCAGACAGTGGGCTCAAAGTCGAAACAGGGAGGGGAGGTAACTAACTCTCAGCCAACCAGAATCTGGGGACCTTACCCTGCCCTACTCTAGTGACATGGTGGCCTGTATGGAGATATAGCCCACTTGCAGTGACCCTGATGAGAGCCAGACAGTTGGCAAGGGTCTGAGAACAGAGCCAGCACAGCTCTTGTGAACTGGATGACCGCGGGCAGCTGGGTGGGGACATCCCTGCAGCACTTGCTACTGTTCTGTGAAACCAATGCTCCACCCCTCCCCTCGTGTATGTGACAGCTTGGGATGACAGGGAGGAATCACAGACAAGTAGTCTGCCAATAATTTTGTAAACACTTATTTATTTAAAAATACTACAGAGGAGAGATTTGGATTCAAGAACACAGAGTCATATACAGAAACAAAATGTACTGGACCAAGAAAAAAGGGAGACACCATCGGCATTCCAGAAGGGAGCACAGTGGAAAACTATTTACATGTCATTTATAAAAGAGCAAGTCTATAAAAGAGTGTGATAGCAAAGTATAAATGCAAATTACAGTGGCACATTATGTTAACAGAAGAGACCAGTACCTCGTGGACATGGGAGTGGAGGGTGTCTGGCTTTGTCTGCAAGGCCGCTGGTGGTGTGGTTCTGCCTCCCTAGGGTTGTGAAACAGCCATCGGGGACAAAGAGGTGATGTGCTGGGAGGGCTGCATAAAAAACGATCCAGAGGGAAACACCTCTACCAGAAAATAAAATACAAATTTAGATGTAAGTGTAAAAACGGGGCTCGTGCAGGGAGGTGGCACAGGAGGTGTGGGGAGTGGTCAGGTGTTTCTCCTGGGTCAGGCATGAGGCCCAGGCGGGTGCCTGCCCACTCCTTAGCTGGCTGCTGTAGGTCACTATCAGGAGACCCATGGGCCAGGCTCTGTTCTCAGCTCTGGTCCTGGCCAGCCTGGAGCAGATGCACCAAGGCCTGTTCTCTGAATAGTTCCTGGGGTTTCCCGTTTGTGGTTTTCCTGACATACTCTCATGACTCCCACAGAAACATGAGGCTAACTACATTTGCACAGTTCTAAGGTGCAGCCCATGCTGGCAAGGGCCCCAGAGCTGGATGGCCTTTCTTCCCGTCTGTGCTGTGCCCAGCAGCTGCTCCTCTCTGTGCAGAGGCCAAGCTCTGAAATGCTGAGGAACTCTTGTCACAAGGGAAAGAGCACTGCAGGGACCCGCTTTGTCTTAGAGGAGTAGGGGAAGGAAGGAGACTGATCAGAAATCCAGACCTTTCTGGGCACCTGACTGTTTGCAAGGAAGGCACCCTGGCACTGGGCAAGCTCAGCCAGCACCCGCCATGCCCCTGCCACCCTTCAAACTCAAGCTTTCTATCCAGGATTCACTGTGCCCCTCACAAGAGAGAACTGGGCCCAGGGACATGGAGAGCACGCTTCTAGCTTGATCCTCCTCAGCTCCCTCCTGTCCGGGCCCTGTAGCTGGTTTGCTTTAGCACCCTGTGTCCCCTCAAGTCACCAGCTGTCCTTCACATAAGGAACTGGTGAGCACAGTTCCCTGGGCAGAGCAGGGCAGAGCGACCAGCTAGTGGTACTGAGGCACACACACTTCCCGGAGGGGCTTCTATGTGCAGGTGTGAAGCTCTCTCCACGGGGTGAACAGGTGACAATGCACAAAGCCCTGGTGATACGCAAAGTCACAGCCAGAGGAGGAGGCTCTCCAGAGAGCTGGGTCTGAAGCTCCAGGCAGGGAGGAGCCTGGTGGGTGTGCCAGCTGTAGTCCACAGAGAGGAAACTCCACAGATACAATGTGGAGACAGAGGTGGCACAGGGAGCCTGGGCTGGGAGGAGAAGGTGCAAGAGGACAGTTGGTGCACAACATAGGTAGTAGGGCTGGACTCCGCCTGGTGCAGAGCCCCTGGGCCCAGGTGCCAGCTTGCTGGTCCTTCGTCAGTCACCGTCCCAAGCATGGCTGAGCTTTTGAGGGCTGCAGGCAGCTCCAGGCTTCTGCTACCTCTGGCTTCTGCTACCTCTGCACAATGTCGCTGATCTCCTTCACAGAGCTGAGGAGCTTGCTGAAGTCCTGCGTGGCCGCGGGGCCACTCCCTGCTGTTGCCGGGCAGATCTGAAGCTCCCGGAGGTTATTCTCCAGTTTGTTGATGGCCTCTCGAAAGGCAAACTTGTTCCTCATTTGCTGGATGGAATCCACATAGCTCACGCAGAATGTATAGAGGTTTTTGCCGGCCTCCAGCACAGCACTGTGACTGGCCATCTGTTCAGAGTTCCTGGAGATGGCAAGGCATAGAGCCTCAGTGCTGTCCAGAACCACGCCCTTGGTGATGGTGCCACTAGCGATCCGCTCTGGAGGCTGGCGGGTCTTCCGGAGAGACACTCGGGTAGATATGAGGGGGACGAAGGCGGCAGAAGATGGCTGGTCTCCTGGCATGGCTGAGGAGGTTGCTGGCAGCATGCAGGGGGCAGGGGCTGGGCTGGTGGGGGTCCCTGGTGGCTTGGTGGCTGACTGTGGCTTTGGCACTGATGGGGGTACAGGCTTTTTGAGGCCCTCTCCTAGCTGACTGGGTTTGGCAGCGTCACTGTTCACAGTATCCACAGCTGGACTTGTGGGTTTTGTTTTCGTGCTGGCACCTACCTCCCCGACCATGTCCTGGCTTGGGCTCTGTGCAGGCTTCCCAGCTTTCCCTGTAGAGGCGGGCGGGGGTGGTGGGGCGGGCTTGAGCTTTGACAGCCTCCCCTTGTCTCTCCCCGGTGACTCGGAGCAGTGCTTGTGCCTCCTCACACGGGGCTCCTCAGTGCAGGGCTTGCTAGAGCCCCCAGGCACACCTGGCCCTGCCCTACTGCCTGGGGGCGCTGGCTCAGCTGTAGCAGGGGTCCCCAAGGAACTCCCCTTCCCAGCCTCTTCCTTGTGAGGGAGGCCAGAAGAAGAGGCCACAGTGGCCTGGCGACGCAGGAGTTTGGGAGTGAGACTGGGGGGGCTGGAGCCTGGGCTGGACTCCGCTGCATCCTTCAAGACCTCATCAGCAACCCCCTCATTCCTCTTCCCTAGCCTCGGGGGGGTTGCCGTGCCTCTGGCCACTTGCTCACATCTGGTCTCACTGGCCCGCTTCCGAGGCAGAGCAGGCTTCTCGCTTTTGTGCCCTCCAAACGTAGACGAGTCAAACTGTCTCCCAGTGGACTGCAGGTCCCGAGGCAGAGTGACTGACCTCCACTCTGTGTCCCTGGCCCCATGGGGGACGCAGGAGGCAGAGCAGGACCTCAGGAAGCGCTTGCTGGAGCTGCCACTGCTCTCCTCTTCGCCGGCTGCCAAGCGGCCACTGGTCAGCGTGCTGGACTTTTTCCACAGGTGGGGAGAACGGAAGCCTGAGCCCCCTGGCTCCCGGAAGGCTCCGTTGGGGACGCCAACCCCGTTGCTGGCCTTTGAGGACTTGGTGGACTCAGCTGTGTCTGAGGGGGTGAGAGTTGGCGCCCCATTGCTCATTTCTCGGCCATCTTCCTCGCTGGCCCCCCTGCGCTCTGGCTGGCCATCCATCTCCCGGAAGGAACTGCTGCGTTTGGGAGGGGTAGGGGCCATTTTCTTCTTCTTCTTGATCAGGGCGCTGAATAGGTTGGTCTTCCTGTCTTTGGGCAGAAGGCGCTCATCTTCATTGAGGATGCCGTCTGGGGGACCACGCTCTTTTCGAGGGAGCAGTGGAGACACAGCAGGCTCGTGGTCCGGTGGCTCTGAAACACAGTGTGAGGAGGTGAGCAACTGGAGACCAAAAGTTCCCGAGTGGTGAGCTCAGCTGGGTGCCCTGGGCACTACTAAGGTGCAGCTGGGAGCCTGGGCTGACGACCAGACCCGCCACCCACTACCCACCGGCTCCAGTTAAATTGTTTCTCCTCCCTCACCCTCAGCTTTCTCACCTGTAAAATGGGTCAGAACAACAAGCTACAGTGCTGTCGTGAGAAGGTGAATGAGCTAATGAACGTGGCACACTCAGCACAGCTCCCAGCAGCACCTGTCCACTAATGCCACTGTGATGCCAGTACTGTCAGCACGAGGCAAGGCCTCAGTCTCTCCTTGAAGGCAGAGGAACGCAAGGCCACGATGGCCCTGGCCTCCCTGTGACATCACTCTCTGGTCAGTGAAAATGGTCAGACCTGTGGCTCTCAGCCAGTCAGCCAGCTGAGGTTCCTGCAAGGTGTAATCTGGAGGGAAGGGGTCGCAACAGACTGGAAACAGGAAGGAAGGACCTTTTCAAACTTTTAAATGAGCATACTTTAAAAATAAATAACAGTCACATGAAATCTGTCTCCCGTTGCCAAGTTCTGGCCAGTGAATGACAGAATCCATCACAGAGGCTGGCTGTAAGAGACGCTGTGACTTGGAACAGAGGTGTGAGGCTGCATCTGTCACAAATGTGTCACACAGGACCTTCGAATCAGGGAGGCCAAGGATCTCCCAAAACTTTAGTCCAGTGGAAGGCAGTAAAGAGTGAAATTCTACTGAGATACACACCGTTCTACTCCAGTGAAGAGCAGCTGAACGCCACCCACAGCTCACAGTGAGATGACATTAAACGCCTGCAGATGGACAATGATGGGCAAAAACGGACATGATTGCTTATCGCTGGCTTTTAATAAGTGCAAGGCGTCCACAGCGTCCTCTTCTCCTCCCCACTGCCCCATGACCTGAAATCCTACCAACCAAGGATAAAGGGCTGTGTGCCACAGAGCCACAACAGGTGAAGAAGGTGATCCGGAGTGTGGAAACGAAGTGCTGCAGCATGGACTCATTTCTTATGTAAACCTCTTAAATGTATACAGTAGGTGTACTATTATTATTATTTTTTTTTGGTATACAGTATGTGTACTACTTTCTTTTCTGGTATATAGTCTGTGTACCATTACTGTGGTAGTGTACCCCACCCACGCTGACCATTCGACTTACTAATATGAGTACTTGATAAAACCCCAAACTGGGGTCTACAGATTCTACTGTGAGTAAGCAGTTCTCACAAACCTCCTTTAGCATTTGGCCTGTCCCATTCCTTCCCATTCCCCAAGTCTATGGTCCATGAGTGTAGTCCACCAGCAGTGCCTACTGGGAGCCCCTGCAAGCCCCAGTACCTGGTCCATCCTCACGACACTTGCGTTCAGCTGGTCTGCAGGAGCAGCCAGCCTGCTGGGTCTAGGGGCACACGCTCTCTCAGGACAGAGTCTGACATGCGGAAGCACTGGATAGGTTCACTAATATTACCCTGGATTCTTTCTCAAAGTCCCTCCTGAACCAGTCCCAGCCCCCTTGCTTGCTTGGGGAGTAGCACTAGAGAGATACTCTTTCCAGAAACCATAGGGACACTAGCTCTGTTCCATAGGCATCCCCGGGCCTGTTCAGTTCTGGTGAGGCCCTCACGTCAGTGCTTTCATGAGTGCTCTTCATTTGGATCAGTATTTATCACTGCTATATCTGTCCTGAGAGATTCCCACAAAGGCTGTGAACAACAGACGAAAAGGTGGACATGCTTCTCAGTCATCTGCCCAGCGCCTCTGCCTGCTTGAGCTAAATGCAGAGCCCATGGCTCTGAGAAGGGGCGGTGCTGGGGGGAAAGGAAAGTCTTCTTCCTTCTGGAGCTGAACTACAGACGAGGGAATGCTGCCCTGCTGTGTGGGGTCCATGCACCTACCCTGGCCTGATGGGGTGGGACGTACCGTTCTCTCCCTGGCTCTTGCAGTGGGGTGTCTCAGGCACATCGGTGGCATCTTTGTGCTCAGCAGCTCTCCTGGAGGTCCTGGTCTTGGTGGGCAGCTCTGGGGCCTGCAGCAAGGTGCTGGCAGCCCCTCTCACACCTTGTTTCCCCAGCTCCTTTTCCACTTCTGAAAATCACACAACACAAAACCCAGAGCATCAGCTTGGAAAGTAGACATCTATGCAGTTACAGAAAAGGAATATGGACGCTGAGGCAACAGCACGTAGCATTTTCCAGAAAGAGGCTGTGGGTCTGCAAAAGTCAGGGAGCCCAACGTCGACACCTCTACACAGATTTCTGGTCTCAGACAACTTGTTGATCTGTCACTTTCCCCGGAAGTAAACTGAACACCTACCCAGTTGGCCCAGTCCAACCTCTCACCCCACTTCAGGTGCCAGGTGAGTAGATACTTTACCATCTGAGATACTGGATTCCTGGAACATTGTTTCAAAGGCTTGGTGGATTTCGGCAAAGGAGGGCCGGTCAGAGGGATTCCACTGCCAACCTGGACGGACGAGACCCAGCCAGACCGTGAGGCCTTGCAAACAATCAAGGCTAGCAATTCCCGAGGAAGAGTCTGCAAACTGAGGTGGCATTCTACACCTGCCAAGATCTTATGCCGTGACAAGTCAGAATGACAAATGCCATTGTGTCCCATCACAGAGATTAAGATTTGAAGACATTACACAGTGGCAGGAATATGGATTACAAATCTCAAAAGAGAGACCCACAGCAAAAACTGCGTTTACAAATATATTTTCCCTGCCTGCCTTGCAATCGAAAGGCTCTGAGTTCAAACCCTAGAACCACCAGCACACACACCATTTTTTTTTTTTTTTTTTTTTGCTCTCCAACCCCACTCTAGTAAGTATAGACAATCAGTAAGGCAAGTAGCTTGCTTCTATCTTCATTCTGGCTTCACAGTTATCAAAGTCTGAAATCTTTATCAATAAAGAAATGTTACTGGGAGGGGGCAGTATTGGAATTTGAACTCAGGGCCTCCCACTTGGTAGGCAGGTACTCTACCACTTCAGCTGCACCTTGAACTATTTTTGTTTATTTTTTTAAGTAAGGTCTCATATTTTTGCCTGGACAGTGATCCTCCTGTGTAACGAATGACAAGCACGTGCCACCACACCTGTGTAACTGGAATGACAGGCACGTGGCACCACACACGGGATGAGACAGGGTCTTGCTAACTATTTGCCTGGGCTGGCCTCAAACTGCAATCCTCCTGATCTCTGCCTTCTGAGCAGCTAGGATTTCAGGCGTGAGCCTGCCCCAGGGGATCTTGTTGCGTTGACTAGGCTGATTTCCGAACTCCTGAGCTCAAGTGATCCTCTTGCCTCCAACTCATGAGTGTTGGGAAAAACAGACATGTGCCACCACACCTGGCTAGAAATGCTAATTAAAACAAGTCTAAAATGAGTATTAAAAGGATTGCTAAATCCCAGTGTTGGTGAGGACATAAATCACTCTCATACACTTGTTTTTCTCTTACATACCTCTGATGAGAGTATAAATTGACACAACCTTTTTTGGAAGACAATTTGGTAAATTTTATTAAAATTAACCTGCATATGGTTCTCTGAACCAACAGTTCAACTTTCAGAAGTATCAGTGTGTGCAGAGAGACACATTTCTTGACTTATCTGTAACGACAAACCCTGAACAAAGGCAAAACAGCCAAATGCTCATCACAAGAGGACTGGGTGAACAACTAAGTCTTTTAATGGAGTGCTACACAGCTGTGCTGAAGTAAGGTGGTGGTGTGGTGGGGGGAGAATCAGAGTACAAGGACATGGAGAGGTATGTCTAGTATAAAGCTAAATAGAAAAAAAGTGGAGGGAATGAACATATAAATATATTATAAAATAGATGACAACACTTAAGTATACAGTATGTACACACACAAACACAGAGGTCAATAATGTAAAACCAAATGGATAAATACTGTCTGAAGTATTTAAATATTTCAGCAGAATATCTGGAGGGAGGGTCTGGGAATATGTGTTTATTAATAAGAAATCCAGGTCTGGTACCCATCTATCCCATTTTTGCTTAAACAAATGAAAACAAAAACAATTCACACATATTATCTGTAAAAAAAGGCATAGAGGAGAATTGAAAAAATCTGACAAATATCAGACATTTGCTTCTGAAGAATGGGAACCAACAGCACAGGAAGGGGCACTGCATTTCTCTTGTGTGTTCTCTCCTACAATGCCCACATATGTCTTTGAGAGTGGGTGGGGAAGGCTCACATGCTCGCATGAGTTCGTAGACCTTCTCTGGGCAGCCCTCTGGACGCTCCATGCGATAGTCCTTCTCCAGCAGCTCATACACCTGAGACAGGTCAATTCCTGGGTAAGGCGACATGCCATAGGTAGCAATTTCCCAAAGCAATACTCCGAACGCTGAAAGAACAGGAAAGAAAAAGGCTGCCCACACTGCATTTCAAACTGGTGGCCTGTGCAGCAGGCAGCGGGTGCTGCACCATCTGAAGCAGCCTTGCAGTGACGTTGTATCAGGCTCTGCATAACCAACGGCCCAGGACAGAATGGAATGGAGAGAAGCATTCAGTTTCCTCACACTACAGACTAAAGTGCACTGAAGAACAGAAGGTGTGTGGGTTGTCAGCCACTCTAGGGTGCCTGCTCTTTCGGGTAAGTCTCGCTGGGTACAAGGTGGAAGATACTCAGAGCTGGAAGCCAGGCACCACATTCTACTCATAGCTCTGTGACAAACTAGCTATTTGCCTGTGTCAGGCCACTGCTCATTTCTGGGTGTCCAGAATTATCTCCAGGGCCCCTCCCAACACTATGAAGCTTTCGTAAAAGTCTTATGAAATCTCTGGAAGTTTTGTGGGGAAGGAGAGAAGTTCTCGAGTTTGAACTCAGGGCCGTGCACTTAAGTCATCCCTCGCCCTTTCTGCTCCAGTTACTTGGGAGAGATGGTCTCACCTTTCACCCAGGCCCACCTGGATCACGATTCTCCTACTTAATGCTTGCTGCTGTTGCTGGAATGGCAGGTACCACCACGTCATCTTTTTCCTGTTGAGATAGGGTCTGGCAAACTTTTTAGCCCAGACTGGCACTGAACCACATCCTCCTGATCTCAGCTTCCCAAGTAGCTGGGATTATAGACGTGAGCCACTGGCGGCTGGTATCACTGGTAATTTTAAAATCCCATTTCCCACTCATAGAGCCAAGACTCCTGGAGAAACAGGAGATTCAGGTCTGGGCAGGGAATGAACGTGGAATGTCCTGTCACTCCAGACAGCATGGATGTTATAGAGATTACAGGGCAATGCCAAAAGGACCCGGAGCTGCATTGCCACTAACCAGAGATGACACGACCCAATATCAGTAAGGGAAATAACTGTCATAGATGGAAGCACACTGATATATTTAAATCCAAAGTCCATAATAATACCACAAGAGACAAACCACAAAAATCTAACTGGTCACCGCTGAACGGAATTAAGAGACCAACTTGTTACTAGAGAAAGTAGCAACTGGAGACAGAGAAATACACATTTGACCTTCCGTTCCTGTATGAACTTCTCATAGCGTAACCAAGCAGATAAGGTGCAGTTTCTTCTCTGTGGAAGTGTTCTGCAGCTGGATGTGATGGCTCATACCTAATCTCAGGAGGTAGCGATCAGGAGGACTGCGGTATGAGGCAGCCCAGGCAAAAGTTAGTGAGACTCCATCTCAACAAATCAGCAGGGTGTAGACCTGTGATCCTAGGTCACAGGTAGGAGGCCCGAGGCTGGACTGGGCAAAAATGCAAGATCCTATCTGAAAAATAAAGCAAAAGGGCTGAGGAGTGGCTCAAGTGGTAGAGCACCTGCCTAGCAAGGGCAGGGTCCTGAGTTTAAACCCCAGCACTGTCAAAAAAAAAAAAGTATTTTGTTAACAAATGAATAAGGAATGACAGAATTAGGGCCAGAGTATGTATAGCTCAGTAGTCAAGCACTTTCCTAAGGTGTGCAAGGCCCTGGGTTCCATTTTTAGCACTGAAGAATGACAGAATGGTAGAATTAAAGAATTACCATTTGGTAACTTGTAGTAAACTAGTGGTTCTCAGCACTGGGTACCAATAACTGCTAAAAAAAAAAAATCAAAAAAGGGAGAAAACCAAGCATTCAGTGCCCATTAGACCTGTAAGCCCGCCACCTCCTCTGACATACTCTTAGTGAAAGACCAAAAAAATCAACCAGAATGTGATGAAGCTCTCTGGCTCTGACTCCATTTGCTAGGAATCCTGCAGTTACCATGGGGACACAATGAGCCAAATCCAGAATGTGGGACTCCGAAGGACATGTGGCAGAGTTTCACCGATAACTAAACATTGGGGGAGATACAGATGGAGAGAGAACTATGGGTGAATGGGACTTAAGGGACACATCAGCTAATGCAACGTGTGAACTGCACTTGGCGCAGTTCAAGTCGCAAAAGGAACTATGACTTTCATGGTTCAACTCAAGTGTGAACGCTAGTATTTGAAAACATTCAGAAATGACTCTCAAGTTTAGGGGTAGCAATTTGGTTATGCTAATAAAGCCTTCTGCAAGAAACTAATTCTGAAATATTTATATGCAAAACATGACATCTGGCATTGGTTTCAAAATAACGAGGGTCGGGGGAGCGGGTGGGTACAGAGCACCCTAAGGTGGTGGGCATGCAAGTGCTCATCATATAATCGCATCTTCTTTAGCATATGCTCACAACCTGTCATAGTAAAAAGTTTCTAAGAAAACAAAAATAAATAATACATGAAACTTCAGAGTGACGTATCCTGTTTAACCTAACCAAACAGTGCTCCCTGCCAGCGGGGAGGGAGGGGCGCGGAGTGGTGGAGGGGATTCTTTGTGCATGTATGATCAGCTAGCTGCCTCGGCAAATCTACACAACCGACTTGGAACAAAGACACAAAGATGGAATGTGAGAATAAGGACATTATTCCGGATTGTTTAAGAAGATCCCTTTTACTTCATTTTGGTGAAAAAATAGGAGGCAGGATCTTAAAATGAGAACGAAACAAAACAAAGAGTAATGAGGAAAGAAAGATGAAGAGCAAGAAAGAGGAGGGGAGGGAGCCAGGAGAGAAGAGAAAACACGTGCTCTTGCTGTCTGGACAGGCCCAGTGCAGTGTCCTTACCCCAGACGTCAGATTTGATGGAGAATTTGTTGTAGGCCAGGCTCTCGGGTGCGGTCCATTTGATCGGGAACTTGGCTCCTGCATGGGCTGTGTAAGTGTCCCCGGTCATTAACCTGCTCAGGCCAAAATCAGCCACTTTCACCAAGTGGTTTTCCCCTACCAGGCAGTTTCGGGCAGCAAGATCCCTGAGAAAGGAAAACATTCATCTGTGAGCACACCTGGAGAGCTTCCCAGCTTTGCAACCCTGTATATTGAGCAGAGGTGCGATTCTGACTGGGAGAACTAAGCCTGGTACTGGGAAGCTTTAACACCCAATAGGGGAGCAGCACCAGCCTATTAGCAAGTACCTGGAGCTACCACCACAATGGCAGGAAGCAGAGGGTCCGGGAACTATAGCCTGGAGCAAGTTAATTAGCTCAGGACACAGTTACCTCATCTGTAAAGTGAAGATGATAATAAGAGGGCCACCTCTTCAGGCTACTGGGGATGGTAATGAATTACCATGTAAAGCGCTTCCTCCGATGTCCAGAGAACACCAAGTATAATCTGCGTTGTTTGTGCTCAGTGCTGCACTGCACCAGACAGGGGGACGGACGCTTAGCCCAGCCCTCAACTGTAGCGAACAAGTCTCCACCATCCTGTCCAGACTTGGCAGGACAGATATTCTTTCCCAAACTGTGACCCCCCTACTCTCCTCTTCCTTCCTGATGCTTACCCAAATGAATTCTAAAACTCCCCCTGGGATAATCTGCTCCCTTTTGCCTCCTGCTTCTCCCGGGAAGGAAGGGGTTCTAATCTTTGATTCATGGATGTTAACCATGAAATCACATGGCAAAGTGGGAGGATGGAGAAGAGGCGGTGGCTTAAGGCGATGGCTGCATAAGGAAGCCTCATCACCAGCACTGTGAAAGAAATTAAACGCCAAAGAGTTGTACCTAATAGGATTTTTGGTAAAGCACTTTACATTTGCCTGAATGGAGAGGGAATGGAGCTAGCCATGCAAGGCAAACCAGAAGTCAGGAAATCTCAATTTGCAGCATCAGAGGATTCACCCTGCTGAGTGACAGGAGCATCTGGCCGGAGCTCTCGTGGAGCAGAGAAAATCTGTCTTACGAGGTGCCGCCAGCACTTCACACACCCTACTCTTATTCCTGGCTGTAAAATCTCATGTAGAGGTCTCACACTTGAGTTAATTGGGTAGGAAAGGTCACAATGGTGGCGTGGAGAACATCCTGCATAAAAGAGTCCAGCAAAGTCCATTATGCCATGCCATGCACAGGCCATCACTTTGCTAGGAAGTCATGTCCACTGGCAAAGCATGCAAGGACCAAGATAATTGTGACACGCTTGAAGGTCAGAACACTCCAAGCTTTAAACAGTAAAGATGCTTAATTTAGGCCTGCAGATATACAACTCTTACAATCCTGGAAAACATCCCTGAACCAGATGACAGCAGCTTAAGTGGACAATGAAATGATAATAAAAAGAAGGGAGGAAAACACACACATGCCAAAACAAAATTCATGCACAGGCTTTTACCGTGAATTTGTAAGAAGCAGTGCCAAATGCCCCCAGGCAGAGGTCATTACTGATGGGCAGTACACTTCAGAGGAAGCTGTGACTATTAAGACGACGTTCATAAAGTCCATTTAATATCCACTTAGTCAAAATGGTTCAAAGTGAAATATCTGTTACCTGGGGATTAGCTGCCCTATCAGTGCAGGCTCTGGGCCTGGCTGCACTTCGTCCTGGCCACTGCCTGAAGCAGTTGTGCCAGGCACCTAGCATCTGCTTTGTTCCAAAGGCCAATGACTGCCAGCACCATTAGGATGAGCCACAAGACCTTGTACCTGGGTTTCTGGCCCAGGCTCCATGGCAAGGTTACCCAGCAGGCCTACCTATGGATGAAGTTCTTCTTCTCCAGGTACTCCATGGCCGAGGAGATCTGGGTGGCCATGTACAACAGCACGACCGCGCTCACCTCCTGCCGGTTACACTCTCTCAGGTAGTCCAATAGGTTCCCATAGGTCATGAACTCGGTGATTATATAGAATGGGGGCTCCCGGGTGCAGACACCTGCCAACAGGACACAGAGGGCTTCAGCGTGTGGCTCTGCTACCGAGGGAACAGCCTGGAAAACTGGCACTCAAAACAGGGCAGGCCCCAAGGCCCTGTTCCTTACCTTTGTTTTTTTTTTTTTTTTTTTTGGTGGTGCTGCGGTTTGCACTCAGGGCCTTACACTTGCTAGGCAGGTGCTCTACCACTTGAGTCACTCTGCCAGCCCTTTTTGTGTTGGATATTTTTTGGATAGGGTCTTGCTTTTTGCCCAGGCTGGCCTCAAACTTCGATCCTCTTGATCTCTGCCTCCCAAGTAGCTAGGATTACAGGTGTGAGCCACCAGCAGCTGGCAGTCCCTACTTCTAATGTGGCACTGAGGACCTGCAGCTTGGGAGGGGATACTTATGCTCTTTTCTTCCTCTCAAGCCCAAGAACCTGAACTTACACAGGGAGAGACTACCACTGAGTCTCAAAGCAAGAGCAGGCCCTACACCAAATCACTTAAGCCACTGTCAGGCTGCCCCCCAACAGTTACGTCTACTTAAGAATCACTTTGGTGAGAAAGCTCCTGAAAATCCCGATATTTCCAAAGGCATTTTAAGATTTGCATTTGACAGCTTTCAGGTAGCCATTTAAAGTAGAAATACAGGCTTTCTCTCACATACACCCCACCCAACATGGGTCTCCTTTACCAACAGCCAATGTTGGTAGAGCACAGGTGTCTGAGCTGGAGCCCCTGGTGGGTTCAGAGTGGAGGGTCCTCTATAGCACGTGTCACGGGGTTCACTCACCAAGTAACTGTACCAGATTAGGGTGCTTGATCTCTTTCATTACCGCAGCTTCCTTCAAGAACTCTTCTACCTCCATGGTGTCCTCCTGCAAAAGGAAAATGAAATGAGCTGGAATTCTGCCCGCAAGGAAGTGTTTCTGGAGGAAGGAACAGCCTGAATGGCCAATGCACACGGCGGGTGGGGGGAGGGGGGCTCCATACCCACTCACCCAGCCACCTTTCTCAACTGCCATGTTGCTGTGGACAGGCTCCATGGTAAGCAAGTCTCGCTCCAGTGGTGCCAAGAATTTCCCCTTTGGGGCTGAGCTGTTAATCCTTTACTGGTTCACGAGTCAAGAGGTGGCCTACACGTCTGGTGACTTGCTTCTGGTGGCCACTATGCAGACGGTATTTACTATGCTGCCCCCTTGCCATTGCCTGTATTGGTCAGCCCTTTGTGACTTAAGCCACTGCCCTCTGAACCAGCCATCACAACCAGGAGCAGGCAGTGGTGAATGGCAGGGTCTGCTCAGCTGCAAGAGCCTGGCTCTGGAGGCAAAGAAGGTGACAGGCCACCTGCAAGTGTCCACAGGGAGCCTGAGCTGCCTGACAGAATGAAGATGCATGCAATGGGAGGGAGGGAACTTCTTGAAAATTAGGATCCCCAAGGGGAAGGCTTTATCAAACCTTATGTTAAACGTGGAGCTTTCCCCACTGCTCCTGCCTCTTCAGGTAACAAAAGGCTGAAGCCCCCCCACCTCCGTCTCCCCCTCCCTCGCTATGGGAGTGTTATGGCTATAGGGCAGTGCTATGGCTGCCCTAGTTCCTTCGTGATGAAGAGAAACTCCACAGGGCAGATGGGTCTACCTTTCCTTGGATCTTCCCAACTGTGGTCAGCCACACCTACAAGCAAGCCACGGCTAACAGAGTTGTGCCAGCCCATTACCACTTAGCAAAGGACTCCAGGACAGAACTGAGAAGCCATCTTTAAACCAGGGAGCTGCTCTTAATGTCTCCTCAACATCACTGGCAGTCACTGTGCCAAGTCTCATCTCCATGCCACCCATGGGTGGCTTGATTCTTGCAAGTCCCCTCTGCTCCTCAATGTGTGGCACTCTGAGGTACCTGGTGACACACTAATGTCAAAGGCTGGAGATAACACTTGCCAGGACCCAGTGAGCCCGGGCCATCAGTATAGGATGGGAATCCCCCCTGGCTAGCAGTGTGTTCACAAAGTAACTCCAGTGAAGCTTTTGTATTGCAAGATAAAATCCACACAAGGAAATCACCTCAGAAACACCAGCTGCCTGTGAACTACCGACCCTTTCCAAAACACTCGCGTAATAGATATCTGAGGCAGGAACAACAGGGCTTTCAAAACACCCCCTTCTGTTCTGTGTCTCTCTCACACACATACACACACACACATACACATGTACACACAGACCACGCAGACACATGGAAGGTGCCATAAATCTGTTTTGTCTTTCAGAAAAATCAGTGTGAATTTATCTCCCCCTGCTGGAAGCAGACAGAGCTCAACTTATTTAAACCACCACTAGGAACATATACTTGTGGCTGTGTTAACGGAGACAGCCTCACACTATGATGCTCCTCTGCTTTTAAAATTTCCACTGCCCTTTTGAAGAGAGTTTCTCCACTACACAGCAAGATAAAACGTGCAGACGCGTTTCTGTGGAGGAATGGTTTTAGTGAAAGCTGGTTTTACGAAAAGCCTGTCAGGGAGGAGATGGGCAGCTGTGTCTCTTCAAAAGGCCCTGCTGGCCTGGCCCAGATGCAGATGAACGTGTGGATGGCTCACGGAGTAGCTGTAAGGATGGCTAGCTTGTCAGTTATACCGACCGCTCTGTTGCTGTGTGACCCTGGTACACTGAACCTTCTGAACTTGTTTGCTTGTCTGTAAAACGGAGGACTACCTCTATCCACCTCATGCACAGTGTTTCATGAAAGGCTGAAGAGTGGTCAGCAGCCCATCAGTGGTGCTTTTATTAAGACCGCTGACTTCTATTCCTAAGAAGCAGATTCAATATATTGCCTGCATGAAAGAAAGCCCAGGTCGCTAGTGAACAATGACTTTAAAATTGTTTATTTTGGTTTTTCCAGATTCATTCTCCCAGCTGCAACGCCTCACCACGATCTTTATCAGCTCTCTTCTTGCTCCCTGGCCTCTGCAGGTGGAGGGATTCTGGAGCATGAGAAAGGGCCCAGTTGCTAGAAATGGCTCTGCCCTGGGCTCTCAGCCTCCCTCTCAGCAGAGACCTTGGCCTGGAATGTCTCCTGTCAATAAATGGGTTTGCACCTCTGTTTCTGGCTTTAGCCAAATGCTAGTGAGTGAGGTGACAAAGCCCAGTGAAACACCAGCCTCTGCCATGAGAGGGGCCCAGTGGGTACAAAACTAAAAACATGCTGGAGAGATGGATGGGACATTTTCTGAGTGGGACAGAGGGAGGAAGTTCACAAACCAGACTAGGGACTTGAAGTCAAGTGACCAGCCCATCAGAAGCCACATCACTGAGGAGTCTGTGGAAATCTCAGCCCCGAGCAGCATAGCTCCACCCACACAAGTCTACCTCGAGGAGCGACAATCTCACAGGAGCAAGCGGCCACAGCAAAGGCGGTGACCCTAGTGCCTGGGCTGCGCGGCCTCTCTCTCCCTGGTGCATAGCCTTATCCTCCACAGAGCCCGTACATGACTGCCAAGTATCAACGTTACCACAGAGCCAACTTCCCCAAAAACCAGTTTCCAAAGTCAAAAAAGCCCTGCAAAATGTGGCACAAGTGCCCAATGAAGGGGTGTGAAGCGGGGCAGCTCCGGGGAAGGCCTTCTGCAGTGCAATCCAAGTGTGCATGTGAGGCAGGGAAGCTGTGAACACGGGGTGGGAGACGGCTGTGTGTGTGTCACTTACTCCCAAGTTCTGCTGTTCCCCACTGTTTCCATAGTGAATCTGTCAGCTCATGAGCCAATGTTAACACCACAATTAAATCAACAGGTTTCTGGGTCTTTTAAAATTTTTTTTTGATGGTATTAGGGTTTGAACTCAAGGTCTTATGTTTGCTAGGCTGGTGCTGTGCCACTTGCGCCACGCCCCAGCCCTTTATGCTTTAGTTATTTTCAGATAGAGTCTTGCACTTTTGCCTGGGTCTGGCCTCAGATCTACTGCAACTGTGATCCTCCTACCTATGGCCTCTTGCATAGCTGGAATTACAGGTGTGAACCACCACACCCAGATAGTTTGTTGAGAGGGGTCTCACTAACTTTTTGCCCATGTTGGCCTTGAATGGCAATCCTCCTGATATTTGCCTCTAGAACAGCTGGAGTTAGTGCCATGCCAGGTCCAACAGCTGTCATTTCCAAATTCTTCCATTTACAGACCATTTCATAGAAAAAAGTGACTTACAAACCAACTTTTAGAATACAGTTCATTAAAACATTGGACTTCTCTGGACACGGTGGCATGCACCTGTGTTTCCAGTTACATGGGAGGCCATAGGTAAGAGGACTGTAGTCTGAGGCTGGCCCACAGCAAAAACATGAGACCCTACCTGGAAAAGAACTAAGGCAAAAGAAGAGCTGAAGGCGTGGCTCACTCAGGTGGGAGAGTACAGAGCGCCTGCCTACAGTGCTGGGCCTTGAGTTCAAACCCCAGCACTGGAAAATAAAAGGTGGGGGGCTTCTGTGCTTCATACTTATGTATGAAATAGAATAATGAAACTCGTTAAAATTGTTTAAGAAAGGAGAGGAGGAGAAGAAAAAGTGAAAGGGGGAGAATATGAGCATTCTGCCTTTAGTGTAGACAGCAAGTACCATGTCCTGCTGAAAGTTGTCCAACTTGAAGGAGCCGTTCATTCCCAGCCAACAGGCTTCAGCCTAGGACCCTGGTCTTTCCCTGCTCTCTGTGGCCTTCCTCTGCTCTGCAGGCACCTGCCTTACAGGTGCAACATGAAGTGCTTGCTGGCTAAGGAGGATACTGGCTCATCCTTGGAGGGCCAGCAACACAGACAGGGTTGGACTAGCAGGACCGAGGGGAGGAGACAGGTGCTCAGTGAGACTGCTGAAGGAATGAGGCCTGGGCCAGGGCTGCAAGCATTTTTGTCAAGGAGCTCTGGAGACAGGTAGATCGTAGCTGTAGCCTGCAAGGGGAGTCACTGCGGGAGAGGGAGAAATGAGGTTTCTCTAAAAAGGTGTGACTGAGGTTTATGCTATTTTCCATGGTATCTAAAGAACAGGAACCCGAGTTACTAGTTTAAAGAAGAAAAAAAAAAAAATCGAGGCTTTGGAGTTGAATTTGAATCATAGGTCTCAGTCAACCGCTCTGCTTCAGCCTCCAGGCTCAAAGTGGGGATTCTGTTAAGGTTGTGCTAAGGAGTGTCTCAAGGTTGTGAAGATGCAGTGAGCTGCCACAGGCTATATGCATGCAGAACTCTGCCATTAGCGTACTCGGAATCCAAAGTTCTCAACTTCTACAGTGGGAATAAAAACCCAAACTCGACACTAATCTTCCTTGACAAACTGGCAGATGCCTGAGGCAATGCCTGTGTGGAGCCAGGGGAGGAAGGGAGGGACAGCACCACCTCTTAACTCACCTCTCTCTAGAGAGGGCCATACTCCAGATGACAACTCAAGGCACCCATGCAACAGGTCCTGTCATTCTCTACCACCAGTGGGGCCACAAGTCAATAGGTCTTGGGAAAACCAGGAGGTGTGGCTCAAGCGGTAGAGCAACCTGCTTTGTAAGTTCAAATTCCTGTCCCCCACAAAAAAGACTCTCACCAACAGAGAAACAGAAAGCACAGTACAGACCACTAGAAGGCACAGAAAAGCCCTGCCCCAGCAGTGAGCTCCAGTGGCCCCTCCTCTGTGATCTCCCTTTGGTTGTTCAGAAAACAGTGCCCAGCACCCTACAAAGAGGTGGGCTTCCCGTATTTCAGGTTGTGCAACTTCTATCACTTCACTGTTGGCCTCTCTGCTTTTGCTCTTCCTTGTTCTATTTTTGTGAATCTTGGACAAGCATTGTGGGTAAGGCCTGGCCCTCTAGCCTACTGAGCTTTGAAGGCCCTGTTTTTCGAGGCCTGGCCTTCTATCCAGTGTCAATTCAGGACTGGGCACCCGTAAGCACCCCTTACAGCAGTCAATGCAATAGGCAGATGCAGGACAGTGGGTGTTTTGTTTCTTCTGTTCTTTTATTTGAGATCCCATGTGAAAAGACTGTAGTTGGTTACAAACTTAGCGTACAGGTAAAAAACCCTGCTACCCCAGAACCTGGCTGCCATGTGGGGACTGTGAGGTTCACACTATTTTGGCCATGGAGCATTGGTGTTCTCCACCCAGTGGCCTCTGTAAAACTCAGAGGTCATGATCATCCTCAACAGCCAGCCCCGCCCTCGCTGGCTGCTCACTCCTCCAGGACAACCATAGAACCTCTGCTGGGGTTCGAGGCTGCTGCCACTGCACGGCCCTGGTTCACTATCTAGCTCTGGACCCTCTCTGCACAGCTCTGAGCACATGCCTCCAATGGTGTCCTGACCAGACCCACCCACTGCTATGCGGCCTCTGTCTCCTCCACCTACACTCCTCAGTGCCCATGGTGAAGAACTCCGCCTCATTCATTCCTAAGCCAAGGGCTGAGCCCAGGACCTGGCCAACAGACTTGAGGAATGCCACAAATATTTAACTTGAAAAAAGTCGTGTCTGGAAAACATCCAGGAGTGCTCAAGGTAACCCCAAGCACGTCACTGCCACCCAAAGCATCAGTCTCGTCCCCCAGGGCTATGACATAAGGAAGGAACTTCTGGTTTCCAGGACTGAAGCATGCAGTCCTTGCTCTAAAGTAGTCTCTCTTTGCTGGCCAACACCTTGAGGGAAGGCATCAGGCAGGTCCCAAGCATTACCTATGGCCATCACATAGACATGAACACACATGAACTTGGGTCTGTGTTCCCAACAGCGCAGGTCTCAGTTCTTCCACCCCACCCCCCACCCCCTGCAACAGCTCCAAAACAGGGCCCCTCTCTTAACTGCTATGTACAGGCTGATGCTACCAGAGTTAATTTAAAACAAGTGGAAGCAAGCAACACGGGTTAACACTAGGGGCCACTCTCACCCCGGGGAAAAGCTTGGATCACGCTGGGAAGGAGGCAGAGGACTAAGAATGGAAACTTCCTACGAGAAACCAAACTGCCTGGAAAGCACACTCGCTCCCTAGCAGGAAGGCTGCTGTCACAGTTCCAAAGAGAGGGTAAGTTCCAGTGGAGAGGCACTCCTGACGCCTTGCCAGTGGGGGCTCCCGCACCCGCTAAGGGAAGTCTGGCATGCTGGCCTGTGGTGCTGAGACCCAGAGCAGCCAGACCACCCGTTGCACTCGCCTTTCAAATTGGCCCTCCAAAGTCCTGGAGGAATTTTAGTAAGAGCTCCTCCTTCCTCTCCTTCTCTTAACTCTCAGTAGGAAATGATGTCCTGCCACACGCCCGGAACGGAAACCCTGGATTTAAAACAATCGCGCCACAGAGCAAGGACTCCAGTGACTCATCTTTTTCACCACTTGTCAGCTCTCTCCTGCACGGAGACACAGACCGACGCGGATTCAACCTGAACACAGAAACAGCGCTGCTGATGCCAGGAGGCCAAGAAGGCGACTGCCTGGCACTGGTGGAGTCGTGGGCCGTAGAGGCCTACCTTCAAGGTCTTCACGGCCACCGTCAGGCTGTACTTCTTCCACACGCCTTCGTACACCTCCCCGTACTGGCCCCCGCCCAGCTTGTGCTTCATGGTGATGTCTGTGCGCTCCATCTCCCACCTGTCATAGTTGGGAGACACGCCGTAGACGGTGGGCTTGTTGCGCTTGGGGGCTGGGTAGTGCAGGGTGGTGATGAGCCCGTCGGCCACAGTGGAGTGATGGTGAACCAGCTCAGCCAGAGTGTTGAAGCGGCTCTCTGAGGAGACGTAGAGCTAAGAAGAACAGGGAACAGCCTTTAGCTGCAGAGCAATAGTGTCGAACAACTCAACAGGGCAGTCTGAATGAACCCTGCTTCATGCACGCTGAACCTCGGATGAACAGTTCTTCCCACTGGACGGTTTGGAAATCACCGACAGCACTGTTCTCTAGAAACATGATAATCTGTTTGCTAAAGTAGAAAGGCACAATAAAAAGCCTCAGGGCTTTTGTACCTGTTGCTCCCCCTGCCTAAAATTCTCCACACGGGTCTCTCTTACCCTACTGGGATCAGTTTAAACGTCATGAAGTCTTCCCTGACCACCCGGACTACAAACCACTGAGGGCTGTCCTGTCCTGCTTTCATTTGTCTTTGGTATACTCACTAGCTGCTAATTTACTGTTTACTTGCCTAACTACTGGCCATCTCCACCAAACTGAATGTACACTCCATGAGAGAAGGTCTAGCCATCTTCCTGTACAGTAGCCTTAATGCTGAGAACAAAAAACGAGCACATAGTAAGCACTCAGTAACTGGAACTCAGCAGCAGAGTGCTTACCTAGCACACCCAAGGCTTAGCACTGAGAATAGTTGTTGATGAGGCTTCATGATAAGTACATAATAAGTACTGCTAGTTGGAAAAGAAAACCATGTAAATAATTTAACTTATAGTTACAAATGGATAAGCTCAGACACAATGATTAGAAAATGAGAACTCCTAAATGCAATCTGTATCTCAAGAAAAAAAAAGTGTATCTCCCTTGCATTGTTGCGTGCTCACTTCAGGCTGAACAGGCAGCATCAGAGGCCAAGATCTGCAATCACAGTGGAAGGTCCACATGGGCTGCCTGTGCCTTTTCCTTTGTGGGTAAGGAAGAGTAGAAAGGCCCTAAGGCAGGAGGGCATTTGAGTCTCTATCTGAGATCCGGAGCCTGTGTGGGAATGCTTCCTGCAGAGTTCTCATCTGGACAGGACAGAGGGACTAGGAGGGAAGGCTGGCAGAAAGCACCAACGTAGGTGGTGATGGCCACCTTTTCCTCTCTCCTTAGTTTGCTGCAGTGATGTGGTGAGGGTATGCTCCCTTACTAAAGCCAATTCCATATTAAAATCCATATAGAACACCTGGGCTCCAGGCACAAAGCTGAATCTCCTGGCTTGCTCATGGGGGAAAGACACAAATCACAACAAGGCATTCAGAAGACTTGCCCCAATGCCAAAGTCTTGAGGGAGAAGGAATACAGATCTGAGGCAGTGATGATGCTTGGGGAGAAAGGAACAGGGTTAGGCTTCAGTTGCAGCGATCCCCTCTTATTACTTAAAAGAGAAAAAAAAAAAAAAAAAAAAAAAAACAGAGGAAGAGAAAGCCTGAGACATACATGGCAGCAACAGAGCCTCTGGCGGGTGTTAAGACAGGCATCATTTTTGCTATGGTGTGTGTGTCACCTAAGGGTCCCTGTGGTAAAGCCTGGATCCCCAGAGAGGAAGTATTTGGAGGTGGTGGAATCTGTGAGAGGTGCGGCCTAGCGGGAGGCTTACAGATCTTATTTACTAGGGGTATGCCCTCAAATGCCTTGGGAGCTGTCCTGGCTCACTCAGTTTTTTTTTGGGAGCTGAACTTGTACATGGCTCCCAGGGAGCTCTCCTGCCCCTCTTCCCTTCCTCTGCTTCCTGGTTGGAGAGGTGACCACCTGCTTCTGCACGCATTCCTCCACTGCTTCCCAGAGGCCCTTGCCACAGCCTGCACATGAACAGCCTCAGAACTGAGAGCAAGGTAAACATCCTTTCTTAGCTGCCTCAGTTACTTCACTACAGTTCCTGAAAACTGCCTAACATAGTCACTTTCTGTAAGTTTGTAATATTAGATAGTGAACGCATTTTCAGAAGAAGAAAATGAGTTGGGCGCAGTGCATCACACCTGTAATCCCAGCATGAGGGAGGCTGAGGCAGGAGGATGGACCATGTAGTGAGACCCTGTCTCAAAAACAAAACAAAACAAATAATTAACAAGTTAATGTGACCTATGACCCTCAAGAGGGTAAAGAGGATTTAGTAACAAGGTGATTTTCTTTCTTTTTTTTTTGTCTGAGGAGATGACATAAACAAACATTTAAAAAACCTAGGAGGCCAATGGCAAACTTTAGGTTTATCCTTTGGTAACAACCCTACCAAAATAAAATTCTAAGAAAACCAAGACTGGTCCAGAAAGACTCCCAAGCTTTGGGAAGCTTGCCATCATGTGGAGGCTGTGGCCCTGGGGCCCTGAGTGGTAGGCTTTCAGGTAAGGTGGTCCCACTTTAACACCTCAGACAGGAGAGGCCTCTACATGAACGGCTCTAGGGTCACATGTTGAGCTGGCAGCAACGACCATGCTGCATGAGAATACGTGAGCCACAGGGGTGCACATGGCACTCAGACGTGCTGTTACCTCAGTACCCACACGACATCCACAGCATTCTCTTCAAGTCAGTCATGGATGCAACTGTGGCTCACAAAGAAATCAAGTGGGGTACAGGGACAGTGCCTGATCCCTGCACCACACCTTGGAGGAGGGAGCGTCAGCTGTGCACTAGCTGCACTGCAGGTTGCCAATGTCCCCACCCCTCTTCTCCCAGGCCGGGTCAGCTCAGGGACGGTGGCCTCCCTACCAAGGACTGCGGAGAGGAGAGAAAAGCCAGAATGTGCTGACCCCTCCTGCAGTGTGAGGCAAAAGAGCCTGTGAGACCTGCGGGGCTCCTGGGCAGGGGTCCTGGGAGCGAGACTCATTCCCCACCCTAGCCCAGCCTCAAGCACCTTCAGGAGTGACTACACACTATCAGCCCCCAAGCCCCAGCTCATGCAATTTGTACTTGACTTGCTCAATTCCCTTATAGGCTGCCCCACTGGAGTTCAGAGAGTTCACTGAATGGGCAAAGTTCAAAGTTTCCAGTAATTAAATTTACATACCCTGTGACTGAGTTCATCTTTCAACCTAAAATTTACATTCTGACACTCCTTAAATATTAAAACTGTCCTTCCTCAAGTATACATAGCCATGTCTCCGTGTCCCACTGGGCCTACTCGGTGGCCTCCTTCTGATTCACTCTGGTTGTGGAGCAGCATTTTGCTGGTGAACTGAGTAACCACCAGGTCATGGCACATTCAGAGAGAATGGCATGTCGTTGTGCTGTACGCCCAACTTCATAAACACTTGGGGTGCACAGCCAGGGCTGCTGCCTCTTCTTAATTACATATGGACCCTGAACGGCAGGACTTGTCAAAGAAACAACTGGCTTTCCCCCTGATGCCACACTCACAGGCCTAGTGGAGCTCAGATTCATGAACCTTTGGCTGCCTCAGGCCTGGAGTCCCATCTTGGCCACGCTGTCTGGCCAGGAAGTGAGCTGCTGACCCACAGGGAAGCAGAAGCCCAGCACTTCACGCAATGCTCCAGCTCCCCTGGAAGGAAGGCAGCCAGTCAGCAGGCTTCCCCCAGGATGCCCGCACAGCTACGTCACTCAGGGGTGGCTGAGTCCTAGAACTTCAACAGGCTCTGTAGCAGCCTGCCTGCCACCTTGCCAGTATGTAAGCCCAGATTCATTTCTTGTCACTTCAGAGACCATGGAAATAATGTGCACTGAGGATCTCACTGGAGAAGAGGAAGACTACCCAGGGCTCTTGGAACTGTGGGATGAACAGTGGCCCCCCCATAGGAGCAGGTGAGGTGTGGAGAAATGAGCAGTACAGAGGACGATTTATGAGGGAGTAGTGAAGAACCCCTGGTCCTTGATTCTGCTATGCTAACAGAGGGTCACTGCAGGAAGAACAGGAGGGACTGGTTAAGTCTCAGGGACCACACTGCTAGGAAACAGGGAGGACTCCACTCAGATAAAAAATCCTGAAGCAGCTAGGTGCTGCTGGCTCAATCCTATTTAGCATCTTAGCTACTTGGGAGGCTGAGATTGGGAGGATTGAGGTTCAATGCTAGTACTGGTAGGAAAGTTCTCAAGACCCCATCTCAATGGGAAAAAGGCTAGGTGACTGTCATTCCCAGTCATGGCTGGAAGCATAAAACAAGAGGATCTTGGTCCAGGGTGGCCTGGACAAAAAATGGGACCCTACTGCCAAAATAACCACAGCAAAAAGGACTGGAGGAGTGGCTCAAGCAATACAGCACCTGTTTAGCAAGCATGAAGCTCTGAGTTCATACTCCAGTGTATGAAGTCCTGAAGTCATCGGCTATGGGCCTGAGCTGGTGGCCCCTGGATTGGTTGACAAAAGGAGAGAGGTAAACAAGAGCCAAAAGGGTGGAGGAAGAAGAAATCCTTTAGGCCCTGCAGAAAAATCTCCTACATTCTATTGTTTTCTAAAGATCAGCTGTCTTGAAAATAAGAATGAAGCTTAGTCAGTCCTGGCCTGTCCCTCTAACATCTTAAAATTTCCCTTAGAAATCCAGAGAGGATTGTATCAAAGCTCTGCTATGTGAGAAGCATTCTTCAGTACTGAGCCCCAGTGTCCAACACAGAGCTGCGGTACCTCCTCTTCCCATCCTGGCACCAGTCTCTCACTCCAGAAATATGATCCCACTGGACCAAGCAGAGAGGAGCCTCTGCTAAGGGTTGAGAAGTCTCCAAGAGACAGCCTTTTCCAGAGCAGGGCAGAGGGCACAATGCCTGGGAAAGTCTGATGAGATGCTCAGTGGGGGTGCTGCCTGATCAAATGAGTGCCCAGTGCTCTACCTGGAATGAAAGGAGCCCACCTGGCATAAATCAGCTTTTAGACACAGGGGCTAGCTTCCTCCTTAAATGAACCTTGAATTCTATGAATCATGCATCTCACATACAGGCCTTTTTTTCCCTCTTTGAACAGTATTTTAGACCAACCTCAGCTAATGAGCTGTCAAACTAGATTATGCCTGCCTGCATCTGTTCCAAGGCTGCTGATTAAACAACTCTAGGGAAGATACCATTTTCCTGTTCACAGCAAACCTCCAGAGGTGATCTTGGTGCAGCGTGACTTGGATAGAGAAAACAGAAGGGAAGCAAACTGTTCACTCCAGAAACTCACCTCCCAGGGGGTGCACCCCGGTGTTCTGAGTCACTAAAAAAGAACCTTGTAGTCTGAAGACTCTTTCAAAGAACTACTACCCTGGAGTCTGTTTGGCCGAACAGAAAGGCCTAGCCCACCTTTGGGAGAAGAACTATAATGCAGGCTGAGGAGGCCCATCTCTAGTCACATCTCAACAACGGATTTGCTTCTGTACCCAAATCACTAGCAATACCCCCAATGGATGGAAAGCACCACAGACTAGCAAGAGGACTTTAACCAAAGACATGAGAATAAAGGAAGTAACATCTGAAAAAGAGGCACAGGAACATCCACATGGCACAATCAATGTGTGAGGACAGCCGGAAAATGCCCCAAAGACTAGAAACGGGGCTAGCCCACCAGATGCTGAAACGGCAACCAAAGTCTGGTGTGGGCACACGGACAACAGACTAACGGGAGGGAACAGGGACCAGCAGGCCCAAGTACACATGCAAATTTGGTATAGTTCTATGTGTAGGAAAAGGATGAACCTCATAAATGGCAGAAGAATGTGACACACACACACACTGCCAACCAGAGTGACAAAGATGGTGCTACACGTCTAATGGTACTGTTGGTGAGGGTGAGGGAAATGACACTTTCACAGATGCTGTTTGTGAGAGAACAAATTTGTACGATGTCTGTGGAGGGTGATTGGGCAATATGTACACAAGCTGTAAGTGTGTATAACCTTCAATCCATTCTGGCTTCTATGTATGCAGGATATGAGCCACTGGGTCTGTGAAACAAATGTAGTGGATTATGACCAGGAATTTGTAAAATCTGACATGTACCAGAATGGAATATAAAATAGCAGAATGTACTACGTACAGGAAGGTAAATAAAAATTATGAAGCTCTGTTCCTTGTGTAAGCATGGAGTAGAGAAACAAAATGCTGCATTACAGAGGGCCCAGGACTTAAAAGGGGTTGAAGCCCCTCATAACAGCACTATTTGTAATACCAAAAAACTGGATGCAACCTAAAAGTGGACCAGCAGGGTACTGCTGAAATCAAAGACAGTTCATTCGTGGCAGGGTCATTACTAGGAATGAGGCAGCTTCAAGTGTGCCGCAGTAAGATGTGCTCCCAATCACTTTATCAGGTGGGAAAGAAAGGTAAACAGCATGGAGCTTGCATCACCAGGGCCTCTTTGTAAAGATAAGCAGATGCACACCAATTAAGTCTGGAAGAAACTGCTAACACTGGGTGCCCCTGGGCAGGAGAACTGTGTTGGGAGAGAGAGTTACTTTTCACTGTCATCCCTTTAGCCCTGTTGTATTTTTTAAACCATGTGTGCACATTACATACATTACATGTTTTTTGCTTTCTACGCCTCCCCAACAATCTTCCGATCTACACTGTGCCTCATCTACACTGTGCCTCATTGGAGCCTAGTGCAGCAGAGCGGGTGTGGAATCCCAGCCTCATTCCGTCCTCAGCTACTCCTTAGGCCATCTAGAACAAGACACTTTATCGCTCTAAGCCTCTTTTTGTAAATGCAAAAATGCAGATTGCATCAGTACCTTTCCAGAGCCCTGAGGTGAGACTTAAGAAGATGCCTGCAAGATGCTCCAGCACACAGTAGGTCCCCACAGTGGAACTAGGCAAATGTTGACGTCTCCTTCCTTTCACTGACTTTAAGAACTGTTTATACAAAGACCACAAAATCATATACACCAACTCCTTTATGAAAGTATCATTTGGGTCTAGAAATCTACTGCTATAATGTGATCCCACTTTTGTTTAAAAGCTGTGCACATGCGTGCGCGCGCGCGCACACACACACACACAGAGTGTGATTTTATCTGTACACAGGCCATATGCTAGACTTATTAGGAGGTGCTATTAAAGAGGTTTTCTGCTTCAAAAATACCTACTTATTGCTTGAATTTTTCTCATTGAAGATGACTTACTATCATTGTAAGAGATTTTTAAAAAAGAAGTCTTAACGTAAGTGTGTCTAAAATTCAACATATATTCCTATTACCTTAAGAGAATTATACCAGGCCCAGGTGTTATCACGTGACTGACTCTCAATAAAGGCCAATGGAATGACTCCTGCTGTTTACTGGAAGATCTTGAAACACCTTATTGGTTGGGCTTTGTCGCAGTAACTCTCCTGGCTGGCCCGCTGTCGCCCCTTACCTTGCCATCAGAAGCGGTGTTGATCCGGTAGTGGTACACTCTCCCCTCGTATCTCAGCGAGATGGACCTTTGGCCAGGACTGCTCTCGCTCTCCCGCACCAGGAAGCTGCCGTTGATCCCACTGCTCAGCAGGTACTCCGCAGCATTTCGGGACACAGGCCCATGGTACCAAGAGTGCTTCTCCAGACTGTTGACGGGTGTGATGTAGTTGCTTGGGACCCATCCTTGGCCATTTTTGGTTTGGGCTTCGCACCACTCCCCATTGTGATTGTAGCCTAAGACCCGGAGCTTTTCTCCTGAGGGGAAGAGAGCCAAATCAGACATATCATCTTTGAAGACCAGCCTCCTTGCTTCTCATTTGCTTTTGTGGTTACCAACAATCTCCAAATTTCCACACACTGGATTCATTTGAACACGTCCACATAAGGGTGCATTTATAAGTGTCTGGGATTCACGCTTGTACCTGTGTGAAGCTTCCCATGTGTGCTGAGTGTGCAGAGGAGAATGCAGCCTCAGTTTTACAAGTCTAGTATGCTTACTCAAGTGCTCTGCTCCTACTGTTGGCAAACATTTTTGGGGAAAAGGCTTTTTCATAGGAAAACAACTGTGCTTCCAGTACTAGGTCTAGGTTTCCTTAGTCTGAAAACAGGGAAGCAGCTGTACGAGGACGACTGCACAGAGCTCTCCCCTGAGAAGGGCACAGAGCTCTCCCCTGAGAAGGGGATCCTCAGGAAGTGAGCCATGGCAAATGAAGCCACTAGCCCTACCGTGGCCACCCGCACCCTGTACCTTTAGTGATGCTGAGGGTGTTATCCCCACTCGCCACAAAGTCGTACAGTGCAACGAAAAGGTTGGGGTCATTTTCACTGGGCCCAGCAAGAAGGTTTTCCTTGGAGTTCCACCGAGCAGCTTCACTCAGGCCTTGTGGCTCGAAGTCAGATGCTACTGGCCTCTGTAAGGCTTCTGGAAGACAAGCAGAGAACAGAGATGAAAAAGGAGGAACTGAAGAAACACAGCTTTATTTTCAGAAGCAAGGGAAGACAAAGACTGTTTCCAACATTACAGATTCCTAGTTTACTTCATTTCTTAGCATCTGTACGTACTATGCAGTAGTAAGAAAGGAGTTTCCTTTTTTTGGTGGAATTGGGGTTTGAACTCAGGGCCCTGCACTTGCAAAGTAGGCACTCTACAGCTTGAACCACCTCTCTAGTCCATTTTTTTGCTCTGGTTATTTTGGAGATGAGGCCTCACAAACTATATGTCTGGGCTGGCCCCAAACAGCAATTCTCTCAATCTTAGCCTCCCGTGTGAGCCACTAGCGCCTGGCAAAGGAGTTTTTCAAAAAGGGCTCTTTACCGAACCTTGTGGAAAAACACTATGTATTTTCATTCTAAAGTGGTAATTACTATTCCCAAATAGTTTCAGCTTTTCAAATTCATTAATTCAACATGAATTTAATCAGAAATGGTAACACACAACTTCGTATGTCTTTGCCAATGCTTAAAATATGGAATCCAAGTTTCTTGCTTTAGAAGACTTAAATCAGTCAGGTGCTGTGGCTCACACTTGTAATCCTAGTTATTTGGGAGGCTGAGATTGGGAGGATAGTGGGTTGAGGCTAGCTTGGGCAAAAGTAGTTTGTAAGATCCCATTACAACCAACAGCCAGGCATGATGGCATGCCAACCATCCCAGCTCACTCACTCGCACACTCTCATACAAACTCTCTCTCTTCTTGAATTATGTTAAACGCTAGAATTTCTTTGTGATTAAAAGATGCAGAAGGGTTCTTCTAAACCAGCAACTCTACTCCAAGTAGATATATTAAGGGACATTATGAAGTGAAATCCAAATACGATAAGGAAACAACATAAAGAAACTAAATTTAAAAAAAAAAGAAAAAGGGGAAAACTCTGATTTGAAAAGAATGGAAAGATGTACAAGTGAGCCAAACACAAATGGTAACAAAGCAGAACTATGTTTTGACTTTCCTCTACGTGGATTCAGAGGACCCCTAAACAGCCTTCCTTGGGCAGCAATGCCCCATCTTAGAGATGGGCTTGACTCTGCATTCACATCAAAGACAAGACAAGACACCTGTGGACCTTTCGGAACTGTGACTAGAGAACTTTCAGAAACAAAGGATGATATCTAAAGAATCTTTGGAAGAAGTCAACATCAATAACATAGTCTTTCAATGCCAGCTTCTGCACTGCTAACAGAAGCAAATCTTCAGGAACCGTTCTTCTAACAGCAAATTTTGAATTATGTTATTGCCACACTTAGTAATTTCTCTTTATCACTGCAAGGGTAGCGGCAATTTCAGGGAAGAAGCTCTTGTCCTACTGCCATCTCCCAGCCAGGGAAACAGAGTAGTGATGTGCTGGCCCCGGACTCCGAGTAACTACAGGGCTCTCAAAGTACTCCCGGCACCATCCGGATCAGGGACCGGCCCAATACCTGAAAAAGCTGGTGAAGCACGGATGTTTTAATACACGAGACAGGCTAACAGTACATTTTCATGGAGTACTATGGAATGCTTGAAACAGACCATCATTTTTACTAACGTGGGCAGTCTCATCCACACCAACTCAGGGCTGAGCAATCCCACTGCAGAATCTTTCCAGATTTCTACAATCCATTCTGATCAGTTACAGGTTTTTTTTAGTACACCTAATTCCACAGCAATTTTAAAGTTACAGGCCTTTACTTAGTCTTCCTGAAGCACTCATCTGTTTCAGAGGGAAGAGGAGAGTGCTGGTGAGTTTAACAAGCCAGGTAAGTGGAATCCAGTCAAAACAGAATCTGTTATCAGTAGTACATGAAGGAAAATTGTTAGGTAAAAGGAATCTAACATAGTAATAAGAAAAAGAGAAATCTCTCCACAATGGAAAACAACCCACAAATGTGGACAAAACCCACAATAGGCAATTCACAGAAAATTAAAATCACCAGTGAACATGGAAAATGTGTCAACCCTTGCTTATAATCAAAGAAATGCAAATTCTTCTTTAAGCTGGCAGACACATTTTCTTTGCACTGACAGTCAGTGTGGATAAGACATCAATGATGGACACCCTTACACAATGCTAGTGGAAGGTGGATACATTCTTCTGATATTTCAGGAGGACAAGAATAGGAACCAAGTCTGAAGAATCTCAAAATCTTCGCTTTATTTCTGGAAGTTATTCTAAGAGATGCACACAACGATCTGTACACTCTGGTTTAAAATAACAGCATGCAAAAAGAAAAAGTACGAAGTATCCATCAATACAAGGTGGCTAGTTTATGATCCACCCATAAAATAGGATATATTTAAAAATCTATTCAAAATATTTTTGGATGGGGCTGAAGGTATAGCTCAGTAGTAGAACACTGCCTGGAATGTGTGAGGCCCTGGGTTTGTAACAGCACAGAGGGAAAAAAAAAAGAAAGCCTAAATATTTTTGGAAAAAAATATTTAATGGCTTGGGAATATACTCTTAATAATATATTAAGTGTTTCTGTTACACTCTAGTATATGGAGCATGATCCCAATTTTGTAAAAGTTAAAAAAAAAAACCAGAAGAAACTTCACCAAAATGTGAGTGGTGGTTAACTCAGGGTGGAGGGATTACAAGTGTTTCATTTTATTTATACTTTTTGGCATTATGGCTTCTTTCTTACAATGACTGTGGATTACTTTTATAATCAGAACACAATTACAAAACTAGAATACCCTATAAAAAGAAGTCAACAGAGCCTTACATAACTGATCATTTAACACGAATGCAGTGGGGAGGGAAGCCCGCTAAAGACGTCTTGCAAACACACTTGTGTGTTTCCCCCAGTGCCTCAACCTCGGGCCAGGAGCACACAACTTTGACAGACCAGGCCCACACAGGAAATTAAACCCAAGCAGTGAATACAGAAATGCTTTTCTTCTCAAATGCCATTTGACCTCCTCTATCAAACATTCTGTAGCATCTGGATTTGATCAAAGTTACATAATCAGGGGAAGTGGCCTGGAAAACACCTGGAGTAAGCAGAACACAGACACCAGCCCAGAGGTGACCATCCATTCAAAGTTTGAAGTCCAGGTTAAAGTGGGGCTGTCCCTAACCTGGGGGAGAAATGATGAGATTTTATGCAAGGGGTAAGACCCTTGTTAGGAAGGAAGAAGCCTCCCACAGCTTTTTGATTCAACAGGACGTTGGGCCATCCAAGGCACTCTGATTTTCTCCCCCAGTTCTTGCTCCATTCCACAAATTAATGGCCAAAGCCCAAAGGGAAGTATTGCTCATGCATGCCTCTGGATCAAGACTCCAAAGTGTAGCCACAGTCCAACACCAAAACCTTCTAGTCAATTCCCAATCCAGGCTGATGTCAACATTGACTCACGATGCACAAATGCCAAGTTACTTGCTTCATTTCATTGTGAACTATGCTCGTCAACCTTAAAAATGATCACAGCTTATAAGGCCCAAGTTGCAGAATGTACTCAAATCTTTCTTGCTTAAGACATGAACTTTCTTCCAGCCCCACTGTCAGGAAGTCAGACCCCCAGAAAGGCCTAAAGGCTTTACTCAAAAACAATGCCCTATGTATAGCCCCTCTTCTCTTTGCCCTGTGGATTTTTTGGCGATTGTTTAAGTCTTGGGACATAAATGTTAGCATCTGCTATTTTTAATTCTTTTTTAGTGAACATTTTCTGATGCATCCTTTAAGTTGTGTTTTAAGTATACTTAAGATCTGGATCTTTAAATTTAAACCCATTCTATTATTTTGCTTTAAGTTAACACAAAGGTTTCCACTCACCAGTGACACTCCAAAAGTCACTAAAATTAGCCAGCTGAACACCAAGAACTGGTGACATCTGAAAAATGCCCCCAAACCTCTAAAAAAAAAAGCACTTGGAATCCAAATTAGTTTGTATCAAATTGTTTAAAAATCCAGTAAGAATCTTGCCACAAAACTCACTGGATCTGGGCATGATTCCCTTGTTTGGAAAGTATTCTAAGGAAATGGTCCGGGTCTTTAAAGTATAACTTAAAGATCACTTTATGTAAAAATAATCCTTTCTCTAAGTTGTGAGTCATTGATGAAAAATGTTTACAAAAGATCCTCCGATATGGCGGATCTGGTCTAGACTGCCAGAGAAACGCCCAGGAACTTCAGTGGCTGGAGACTTTGCAGTCCCCAGGCAGGGGGCTGAAGGGGGGAGACTTAACTTCCAGGAAAAACATTCCCGGGAGGCTTCCCACCTTCCTGTTGGCACTGGTGCCCAAGGTCACATTCTGTCTCCTCTGGAGCCCAGAGCAGCCAGCTGTGCATTCGTTACAGTCCACACTGTGGGCTCTCAGAGACACTTCATGTTGGGGAGGGCACGAGGGCTCGGCTGTGTCCAATGTGACAGACATTCCTTTTGGTCATGCTCTTGTCCAATTATTTAAGCCCTTGTTGCTTTATTCTTATTTCCTTGGTGGCTCCTTTGCTGTTACCCTCCAGCTCAAGGAATCTCTGTAATGTAAAAATCTATAAAACAGATCCTTTTGAAAGGAAGGGAGCACTTCGTGTTTCATTTCAGACTCGGTTCCAGCTGATGAGATCACGCTCAGACTATTCTCGAGTCAGTTTGTAACAGCCTTACACAACTTTTTATAATATGAGCTTAGAGGAAAAGGATTATTTCCCACAATTTGAACTTGCTGAAGTTATTTTATTTACATTCTACATGGTCCTTCATTTCGTAATTTATACCTTCACCCAGAGCAATTAACGTTATTTTTTAAATCAAGTTTATCTGAACCCAGCCTTTGTATTAACTTCACAGCCTGAACAAAATTTTCTTAGCACCCTAAACACAGTGTTGAGTGCTGGGGAGCAGTGAGGGGCCAAGAACTATCCCACCGCCTCAGCTCCTGGTAGGAGAAGCAGTGAGTGGAAAACCCACAAAGCCCCAACAGTGGAAGTCTACAGACAAAT